CCACGGGGTCGGCCCTTTCCAAACCTTTTTCTATTCATTTGTATCCACATTTATATTCTGAACAGCACCAATATATTTTCTAGCCCTTTTTTTATTTTTTCTTTTAGTAATATACCATGAACTTTTTTCCATGTCCGTAAATATTAATCTCCAATATAATCGTAAATTAATTATGGAAAACTTAGCTTGTCTTCCTGCCCTGTTTTGCTATTATAAACAATTCTGTGATGCATAACCTTGTAAATAAATCTCTGCACTGCTTCCTATTTCCTTTGGGTAATGGTAGTACAAATAATATTACTATTACTACTAATAAAAGCATCTACCATTTACTGAGTGCTACTGTGTGCTAAGCCTGTGCTAATGCTTTCCATGGATCATCTCTGTTGATTCTTCCAACAAGCCTATTGTGGAAGTATCATTATTCCCATTTTACCCATAGGGAGACTGAGACTTAGGTAAAGAGACGATTCTCAGAAATGGAAAGTGCTGGGTCAAAAGATACACTCATTCGTAGGTCTTTTGANGACGATTCTCAGAAATGGAAAGTGCTGGGTCAAAAGATACACTCATTCGTAGGTCTTTTGAAACATGTGAATAGACTTGCCTCCAGAAAGACACCTAATTTCCATATTCCAAGGCAAAGCTGAAAACAAGGTGATTTACAGGCAGGGCAGCTCCAAAGCAGGAAAGGTCTCAGTGCCAGAGGCTGCTTGGCCAGTTAAGGACTCCTTTGCTCAGCTCTGAGCACCTCAGGATAGAGAACAGAGGGTCTAACCATCAGGCAATGCTGGACATCAGGTATGAGATTTTATTAGGCAACTTCCAGGAGCCTAGAACACTTCATGACTATTGAGCTCATTCTCCCTCTAGAAAAAATGGAAACACTGTCCTACCAACCGTCTCCTCTCCATCCCTACCTAACTTATTTGTGAAACATGTTTCCAGGCCATCTAAAAGAAAGGCTTTACATAAATCAAAGCCTTTATGCCAGTCAAGACCACAGAACTGAAGACATTTTAAGGAATAATATTCTGGATATATTAACATACAAAATTCTGACCTTTATTTCTGGCCACCTGTTCTTTAGTTTTCTTTTATAATCTGAGTAGGTATATGAGTAAGAGAAAAGAAGATGTCTTCTCTGTTTTCTGTGTACAACATGCATTTAAATTTTGCTAATCAGCATAAATAGCAATCAATTATCTACCTTGTTCCCATATATATTACAACACACCTTCATCTAACTAAAATAGGAATTCCTTGGGGGAGGCACCCTCTTTCATCTTGGTCACTGCATAGTCCAGCACCTAGAACACTGACTGGTACGTAGCAGGGCTCCTGCAATGTTCATAGAATAAATGAACTAAAGAACGAATGAATAGCTACACTGGGGCTTCTAAATTCACATCCAAAATACAGTTCAACATATGTCATTAAAAGCTCTTGGCATCTGAAATTAGGAAGGCCACAATCACTATCAAAGACTGAAATTAAATCAAATACAAAACTCTGTATTTGACAATGAAAGCACTTTGAATTGCATTTACTTCTATATATGTTTCATCTCCTTCTTTGAGGACAGCCACATTTTTTATTCCTTTATTATCCTGCTCTACAATAAGCAAATAGCAGGCATCATCTAGGACAAACTAAAGGCTTCTCAAAAAGCCTGGAGAATCAAATGTATAAAATTCACAAAGAATTTTATACAAATTTTGGGCCGGCCCGGTGGCGCACTGCTATAGTGCGCCGCTTGGGAAGCGTGCTGGCGCTCCCGCCGAGGGTTCAGATCCCACGTACAGACCGGCCGCTCACTGGCTGAGCGAG